ATGTTCCAAATGCAATATTCTTGTGTCTTCCCCACTCGCGTCTCATATTTTAAAATTTGGAGCTCTGTGATTTGGAGTTTTGTGTACAGTAAATAAATTTAACTTGTTCTATCATATTCTTTACATTGGTGTAAAACTAACTGTAAAATGATACATTTAATATTTTGATAATAAATAGTGTGTGTTAAATGCAGTGATATATCTTAATACCTGACTGCTTCAGTGTTTTGTTCTGTGTACAGTGAAACAATTTTATATTAACTGAGAAAATACAATTGTAATAAATTATTTGCCATATACAAGGATGATAAACTGTGTTTAAAAAATATTTATTTAGTTACACCAGTACTCTTGAATTTATGTACAGTAATAATCAATAACCAAGTAAAGCACCAAAAATATCAGGGATGTTGAAAATCATCATGAAAGAAGAAATCTTGGCTATAGTAAATAATACAAGGCAATTAAACATGACAAATAAATCAGTTAAACTTGCCTAAAACGACTTTGCCCTAATTTCAAAAAAGTCAATCTAATTTTACATGCCGAATTGTAGTTTTCCATTACTGCAAGTGCAAGTCAATTTAGTTTTGTCAAACAATTTCTCAATGGCATTTTGGATACGACATAGGCAAGTTCAACTACATAAATATTTCAAAATACTAAACAAAAAATGGTGTACAACAACAAAATCAAAGTTTTCTTTTAAATTGCAATACCAAATTAATCAGCAAACGTTTAAAAGCATGCAGACATAGGCATAATCCAGCCATTACAAAATAACCAAATTCATAGACTAACTTTACACCAGACTGTAGAAAGCCATACATTAAAATAGTTGTTCCTGTATATATTCAGCCACATTTCATACTGTATTATAAATTTCGTGCATTATATATTTCAATATTAATCCCTACAAGTTGTTTTATAAATCTGGGTCACATATTTGCTCCAAAAGTATTACTATTGAATGGGATTACACGGTTTTAAAACAAGAAACTTATAATAACATTGATTAGTATTAAAGATATTTTGCAAGTAACAATTCTAAAACTTCTAAAAATATTATTTATTTATTATAAATTTGGCATGCACATTGTAATACAGTGCTGCAATATAAACCAGATGCGTAAAAACTTCCTGTCTGCTAGTTTGTAATGTATTAATGTTGTAGAAATATTGGTACAAATTGCTCGCGTTACATTGTGTGTAGCTTCCACTACAAGTTTCAGTAGACGACCGGAGTGTTTCTTGCCAAGGTCTTGCTGGGTGCTTGTATGCTTTGTACCACCATCTTTTATCACTAGATGCCAGTTTTGGGTGCAGGTTGGGTGGTTGTACTAATGGCAAATGTTGGGGTATTTCTGTCTCATCATGGGAACTGTCAAATACCATGTGACCAGGGTGTCATGTATGCCTATCACCTATATTGTAGTCCTACAAAAAAAAAAAAAGTATTATATAGCACGTCACCATTATTTAGACAGTGCAGTTTTAACATTTAGGCCTAGACAGTTTTTCATAGGACCAGGCCTGCCTAGTCGTATTATTTAGTAGTAGGCCTACATAGGAAGGCCTATTTTTCTATGAAATAAAAAAAAATGCACTTGCACAATGTGACAATGTCGCCATGGCATGAAAAGTCTAGGGCCTACAACGATATTCTAGGCATTTACCCAGCCTTTTTTAAATAGTGCCTATGTGACAGTCCGGCCTAGTCCGGCCTTGTCCGACCATATCTCTATGGTCAGATTAGCTAGGCCTATTAATATAAGTAGTAGTAGTCTAGTAAAAACATACGGTAATAACTTTACCGTCAGCTTCAGCTGGATAGGCTACGTGAGAACTCACCTGTTGCGAGCGGGACGGGAGTACTGACGCTGGTGCTGGGTAGATATTGACTGTGTTAATCCTAGGCATAGCCATAGGTGTAGGCCTAACTATCAACAAACTGATATTAATTCAATTGAATTATTCCTCCGTGATTGAACTGACGTCGACTAAACCCTCTCTCTGTTACTGCGTACGTAAACGATCACAAAAACTCACGACTTCTCACTAACTGTATGTATGTAATGTCGAAGCTGTTGGTCGCTCGATCATCGTCGGGACGATTCCTCGATCAGCTGCTCGCCAAAATTGATAGACTGGTCATGAATATTAATGAGTTGGTTAGAAAGTTGCTACCAAGCTACTGAAAAAAGTGATCAGCCTCGTTTTCACCTGATTTTGATTTCTCATCATATCATGTTTTATTTCCGTAATTGTCGTTACATCTAACGTTTTTTGATTTTTTTTTTGTATTTTTTCCAAACTCAAAAAAGGTTAAATAAGCAATATATGACGACTTATTTTAAACCCGCACTAGGCCTTTAACGTCGTGCGGCAAAACTACCTTGTAACTCAATCAATGGGGAAGATAACCCTTTCGGCTGGACCTGCAGGTCAGCTGATATGTATGCGGGCCCAAACCCTGTGTGGGTTATAAACAGCGCCTAGGCTAGGCACGTGCGTAGCCTAGCCCTACTGTAGGTAGAGGTTTAACAAAAAATCTAGGCCTATAGGCCTAATGTCGGATTGACAAACACTGAAAATAATCTGTAGGCCTATTTTATTTGGTGTTTAATGAAGCATTTACAGGCCCGTAGCCAGGTCGTTTCAAGGGGGG